TATATATATAATATATTTATTATATACAACATAGCCGTTCACGAGTTTGAAAAGAATAAGAATATATTACAATTTTTTTGTAATATATTTATATATATATCCCTGCGAGAAGTACGAGATAACGGAGCACCCAATATGGCCATTGAATATAGCCACACTGCAGTAATGAGTTAATACTATATATTTACATAATAATATGTATAATATATAATAACATTTTATATGTTTTACCTGCATGACAAAACGCTTCAAGCTCACTCCATCRTACGTGTCCCCTTCGCTCTCGTAGAATTTCAAATTGTAGTGGAATATCAGGTTGGATTGCATGTTGGTCGGTATGGCTATTCTCACAGTAGCGGCTCCTGGAATTGTAAATTTATGAGTAATATATGTAAGGTGCACCGCCAGCGAAAGTTTTGAATAATATTTTCACGCCCTCCCGGTTTTGCACGTTGGCAAATGTAACGCGATTATAATTATTAAGGGCATCGCAATATCGCAAACGCCGGAAGAAGTCCGTGCGGTCATTACAAAACCGCTGCACCGGATAGAATATTATCATTATATATTATTTTACTTAGTTATTAGAACTTGACTCGCCAAATGATTATATCTCGTCCCTCGACGCACTAGCCGCACTAATTGACCACGGCAAGTGCTCGACGAAACCAATAATGACATTATTATTGTTATTAATATAAAATTACAATATACATACTCGTATATGTAATCGACGTTTCATATAAATCAATATATTTATCATCCCAATAGATTTTTTTATCTCTTTCATCATAGTATATATAACACTTTAAAAATATGCGTATTTTGTATTTTAATTTATGGCCCGCCAAACGTATAATCGAAAAAACGAATTAATTTTAAATCGTCCGCACGCGTGGGTTGTATTGAAAATACAACAAAAATATTTGAGGARAACCAAATATATTATATTATACGTATATAAGAGCTTATAGAGTTGGTGTACAAATAATTAATGTTTCCGCCTTTCCGGTACATAAATCTATGATAGAAATTGCAAATCAATGTCACGCAAAAAATCTACATCGTAGGTATATATTTATTATAATACGCTGTTGTTATAGAAATCCACTTTTATTTAAAAAAAAATATTCTTTTGCCGATTTGCCACGCTTTTTACTGTAGAAATCACTGGATTGACGAAAGTCTTACCTATTGTAATTGCGTAGCATTCGACAGAATTTATAGTGTAGCGTGTTGCGAGACGACATCGATTTGCATAATTGATAATATTTCGGGTATAGGTCGTATTATAAATATTTTATTATATATAGACTGCACACTGTCATTACACTAAACTACCATGATTTAGCTTAAGATAACTATTATAGTCATCACTCATCAACGTTATGTTGGGAATTTTTTTTCATGACTATGAATTTTGCTATATAATACTATAAATCTCTAGATGTTTTAACTATAATATTTCATCACATAAAACTTATTCAGGACATTTGGTTCAACACTTAAATTTAAAAACAAAAATTGTCTTTAAATATGTATAATCAATATTAATACAAATAATAGATACATTTTTTTTTCGTGATTTTGCATTCAATCATAAAATTTATTTTTTCAGCCAACTGGACTTGAGCAAGTTAAAAGTAAAGTTACTTGCTCTTTAG